AGACTTCCAGTAAATCAGCAATATGAGATGTATACACCCTATTTCGTTTAAGGTGATGATTTACTGGTAGCCTCGAAACTACTTAAATACGAAAAATAAATAGCGTAGTCGATTGTTATAGCAAATATACATTTGCTTCATCCAAAATCCCACCAAAGAATATGATATGGTCAAAGGCCTGGCCGTCATTGAAATTCACATTTGCCCTGTGACCCAAGGGCACTCGTGGCAATGTGGCCGAGTGGTTAATGTGTTAAGTTCTCATTGTACATTGTCACGGTTCGACTCCAGCTGGGAGTGTTGATAAGACCGATGTGTGATCGAAACTGCAGTCCAACCTGGGTAAGAACAACTTTTGGGAAAACAAGGCTATATGAAATTCACTGGAAACGTCAGCTCTACTCATATCATTGTGGGAAAATTCTACTATCAGTCGTTCATCACCTTAAACGAAATTAGGTGAATACATCTGATAATAATACTAATTTGTCAATGTATTTTTGAATAAAAATTAAATACGAGGCCTCGTTTCTAATACAATATCCGTAATTTTATAAATAGAGTAAACTTGTATACATTGCTAGTATTGGTATTTGCTGAATATATCAAATTATGTGCAGATTTCCCCAGAGTTCAAGAAAGCCCGATTAAATTTTCACTAGACAAACTCACTCTGCTTATGTTACTGTTTTAAAGTAATCTTATGTAATTTATTGAGAGCTTTATTAACTTATTACTTTTTACTATTAAGGTATTATTTGGTTTTTTGGCTCTTTTTTGAATTGCTGTTGAATACTTTAAACAGGCAAGCGTATTGAGGGCTTGATATAAAACAACGAACATAATAATATTTCTATTATCTTTGAAGAATATCAGATGATATTCAACTTTATTACAAAAAGTATATTCATATTTCTTATTGTTTCCAATTTATTTTATAGGTTATTTTTCTAGTTAGAGGAGTATGCTGCTTTCATTTTATGGACGATGCTATAACTTTTTTTCCTCTTGTGTTTAGGCGCATAGATAATGGAGCCCGTTATTTAGCTGTCGTCAAAGTAATCCTATATCATAACGCCTCACAAGCCCTAAACGAGTATTGCTCCTTGGTTCAACCCTACTGCCGAAAGATTGAGCTCGGTTACAATATTCTTCCTTTCACTCTGTAAGTTTATACTCATATTATCTTACCGATTACATTTTGCATTTCTAGCTAAATTTTAGCCTCTAGCAGTTATTCTACATCAGTTATAATGCCTAAATAAATATTAAAACTGCCTATGAGGCTTCACGATACATAAATCAACACTCCCTTTGCTCATTCTATTTTTCAAGCTGCAAGGTAACCGATCGCAGTGGCATCCTTCTTCGCGAATATGTTGATCACTCCCTACTCGATCGTATGTGCACCCGTCCCTTCCTTTGTATGGAGGAGAAGAAGTGGATCGCTTTTCAGCTACTACAGGCCCTAGCCCAACTGCATTTGGCCGGCAATTTTTCTGGAGATGGTGGCCAGGTAGATGGAAGGTGGGATTGGGGGGGGGCTATAGTTTGGCCAATTTAAAGAGTAGACGTAACTTAGATTGCTTAAAAGTTTTCTTACTAGTGGCTTTTAATTCATATTAAAAGCTTTGAATGTATGGCTAAAGCTATCACCACCATTTTGTATCTATTATTCTTAGTGATAGTTTTGTCCAAGCTCTGGCACACTAGTAAAATTTGACTAAATAGGTCTAAGAGTAGATGATAGGATAAAGGCTTCATAATGAGAGAAAATAAAACGTGAAATATCAAAGCGAATGCCACTAAGAGAATTATTCAGGTCGTAAAAAATTATCTTAATTCGATTATTATCTCTTTATGCTGCTTTTATCACTCATTAGATTCTGGTCAGATCAATGAATATTTTAATGATAATATGAATATTAATAATAGCTTGCTCGAAGATATGGAGACCAGGATGGTGTGTGTCGCGGTCTTATTTCGTTGTATAGAAGTTGTTTAACCTTGTTTTTGTAGCTTGGTCATATTGGCAGGAAGACCTAGAAAAACGCATTTTGTCCGGAGTTCATAGTATGCATGATAATTTCCAGAGTCGGACCGTGGACGTGGTACAACCTAGTCACACCTCCCGCTGGTCATGTACCAAGTCCACGGTCCGACTCTGGGAATTATCATGCACACTATGGACTCCAGACAATATGAGTTCATCTAGATCTTCCTGCTAATATGATCAAGTAGCGAAAACAAGGTCAAACAATTTATATCAATTAG